CCTAACTATCAGGCCACCAGAAAAGTGAAAAAATGTGCCAGTGCAAATTTAAAAAGTCTGATGTATAGAAGAAAACAAAACCTAATAATCTTCTATGTTTTGTGAAAATTCTCCACTGAGAATTTTATAAACACCAGTATGATTCAAATATATCAAAGCTTTGATTCTTTGTCTGGTGAATTTACTTATTTATACCTTAAAGTTAAAAGCATATCTTATTTTCATACTGTTGTTAATAAGTACTTTCACAAAACAGAGGATCTCACTAAATCCTCAAATTACAACAGTAATTGACTAACAGCCCAATTAATTGCTATACTCTAGCCAAACAACCACTACAGAAAAAATTTAATAAGTAACAATGAAATATATTTTTCAGAAATAGAATACAAGTCATAATCTTTTTATTACCAAACTTATTTTCCCTTGAATACATCGATTGCAAATGGACTTCTTTGGCAAAGTGAAAAAATAGTTGGCACTGGCACACAATATAAGGAGGGATGTGAAAGTAAATCATGTTAATAAATTTAACTCAAAGCATGGAGGTTTAAAATGAAATAAAAACATATTTCATCTGATTTCCATTCAATGTCATACTTTTTGAAGGAAACAAATTTTGACCAATCATACCTTTATGGAATAAGGTAAATATAAATGTTATATGAACAATTAAGATACAACAAAAGCATTTATAAAAATAGTTTGTATACTTAATTCTTCTGCTGCAATTTAAAAATACAGGAAGATATCAAATACTTAACATAGACAGATTCTTACCAATTGTTTTGTTTCCTGCCACTAGGATAGTGTATAAAACATGGTGTGTGGTAAAGTATAGTATTGGGGTTTATATACTCAGTTTACATACATGTTCCACTATCACAAGGAAATATCATAAGCTACTCTTACATTACACCTAAACTAGTTTGTTTAAAAAAATTAGTTTTTAAGACACGATCGAAATTTAACAGCATATTAACACTTCTTTTAGGTTTTTATAAAGCCATAATAAACAAAACTATTATGACTTACTTATTAATTCATTAAACAATAATTCATGCAATACACTTTGAAATTAAAAAAAAACATTTAGAAATTTAAAGCACCATACTCTGATATACGATTTTAATACCTGGAAGAAGTGGATCCAATGAAAAACTAGTATTTTTAGTATCAAGAGCAAGACTGAAAACTTAAAAGTGGCTATATATCTATGCCATACAAAAAAAATTAGAGAATTTTTTAGAGATAAGCAGTGGCATAATGATTTGGATATTGGGACAGATAAATATAGGAAAACAGCAACATTTGATCTGAAAATCAGAAATATTTCATAACTTTGAAAAAGAAGGAAGGATGGCCAAACATTTTTTAAAAAGTGCTAGGACCAGAAACCCAACAAAAATTGTAATAGTTTCTCGATTGTAATATTGAGAATATTAAAGTCCAGGAAAAGATATCCTTTTTCAGAATTGCTTTTTTAACTCGGAGGGACCTGGACTGTATTGGTGTCTTATCAGAAAGATGGGATATAAAAAAAAAAAAGAGAGAGAGCATGCATGAACATTTGGAAACAGAATTTAAGTTTTAAGCTTACAGGGAATTTTGTACTCATCTTGGAAGGAATCGTATTGTAACATTATGTTATCCAATCATAACTGAGAAAAATTTGTAGAAGTACACTCAAGGTGGTTACTGATAAGTTACATTTCTACAAGACTAAGGTGCTGGTCAGACCTCATTTTAATTAATGTTCAATTTTTGTCACCTGATTTAATACAAGATATGTTGTTGAAAAGCTCATATAAGGAGTTACCAGGATAGAAATATGGTTATCATACAGATGATAGTTTTTGCTGGAGAATGGCTAATGAGGATACAAGTAAGGGTTTTAAGATTGTTTGGAATCTATAAGATCATTTTTTTTTTATAAAAAAAAGTTGTGTAAGCTGTAAGACAAGATAAAAATATGGAAGACTAAGGCATGGACTCCAGGTAAGGAAGTGATACTTTAAGTGATCAGTCTTTGAAACTGTTTATCCTTCAGGTGTGGTAGAAGTTGTAAAAAAGAAAGTTTTTAATTTATAAAATGAGTTTGTATGAGTACTTCAGAGATCCATTTTGGGTATAATATTTCCTATCTTACGTATAATTTGAAGTAAGGTGGTAGTA